TCGAGTGACTCCTGTATACACAGTGGGACACAGTGCCTGCTGTATGCACTCCTTGAAAGCCTCAGACTACTACATGCAGTCCCTGTAGGGTGCAGTATCTACCGAATACACTCCCTGCAGAGATAAGTGTCTGCTGAATACATGTCTATAGGACGCAGTGCTCTAGGCACTCTGCAGGGCACAGTGCCTGCTGTATGCACACCCTGCATAGCTCTTTGGATGGGGACTCAGGGAAGGAGGCACGTCTGAGGGAAGGAGACTGTCCACTTGGTGGAGCCCCTGAGCCAAGCCTGATTTATTTCTGATGCCCCTGCTCCTGCAGGACACAGTGCCTGCTGCATACCCTCCTGGCAGCGTGCAGTGACTCCTGTATACACAGCAGGCTGCAGCTACTACACAGTAGGTGCTCAGCAGAGGGTGCCTGCCCTTGCTGCCCCCACCCCCTCTCCTGCTACCCGTTCTCAGGCCCTGTCCAACGGGGATTAACCTCATCAAGGTCACTGACTGCCTCTGTCAATGCTGATTCCTCCCCCCCCCACTCTCCCTCTTCCCTGAAGCCCAACATCCCTAGGCCTCTAGGACCCCATGCCCCCCCTCCCCCTCCCCCATCCCAGGCCCCTGGTACACAGGCCCCAGTCTCCACTCCATCCATACTCATGCCCCGTGGTCTCACCCATGCCTCTAAACACCCCCATGTGTCAAGGGCACCCACCTGTCTCTCTCCAGCCAGACAAAGCCCCTGCTCTCCCAGCCTCTTCTTGCTGGCCCACAGACGTCTCACCCCAGACCCGTCCAGGAGCGACCTGTGCACGTGTCCTCCTATGCCTGCCCCCCCCCCCAGCCAATGGGCACCTCCCTTCCCAGCAGCTCAGGCCAAGCTCCCGCCTCACCTCTTCCCACCGCTGCCCCCCATGGAACTCCTACAGGCTCTGCTCCCCAACAGCTGAGAGCCGCCCAAGGCTCCTCAGCTCCACCTGAAATGCCAGCACAGGGGCTCTACCTACCCCGGGACCGGACGCTGCTGCCTCCTCGCTGCCTTCCTGGCCCCCACGGCAGCCAGGTGTGGCTTCTCCAAGACTAGAACACCCTCCCCCACCTCCGGGGCTCCCATCCCTTGACCCCCCTCTAACCTCATCTCCGCCCCCTGACCCACCCTGACCTCCCAACTGTCCCTTGTTCTCTTATTCTCGCTCAGGGGCTGTGCACAGGCTGTCTCCTCCGCCCACACTGCCCTCCTCCTTCTGGGAATTGCCTCTTCAGTAAGGGCCTTGCTGACTCCCAACCCCATCTGCAGTGGGCCTGGGCTATTGCCTCTGAGTGTCCCCATCGAAAGGTAGGACTCTGCACTCCCAGGGGGGTGCCTCCCTCAGCCTAGTTGGCTGGGTCGTTCACAGCTGCACCTGCACGTAGTAGGTGCTCAGTAAAGACTGCATGCAGAGATGGCATCGAGGCGACCTGCTCTGAGCTGCTCTGGGCTGGAAGGCAGCCAGAGCTGGACTGGTAACGCCCCTCCCCGTGGTCAGGGCTGGATACCCCACAGTGGGCTTCCAGGAGGAGGGGGCAATCAAGCTGAGCCTGGGCTTGCCTATGACCAGAGGGCAGTGCACTCATCGTCCCCTTGGTGTCTCCATCTCCTCAACCCACCCGTCAGGGACCATCATGGGCAAGAGCAAGGAGCCAGGGGAGGGGGTGAGCAGAGGGCACCTACTGCTTGCGGCATGAGCAGGGGGAGGGGGCCGGCGCAGAAGCCGAGCTGGGAAAGGGTGGGGTAGCGGGGATGCCTGGGGTAGCTTGGCCCTTGCCAGCCCTCAGAAAGAGCTGAGGTCCCCTTGGAAGTGTCTTGGTGAAGAACCCCACCGATCCCATTGCCTGGATGGGAAAACTAAAATCCTAGGGAGGGGGTCGCTGCCCCGCGGGGAAACGGATCTTCTGGACCCCGGTCTGGCTCTAAAGCCTCAGCTCACAGCCCGCGGCCAGGCAGGGAGGGCGGAAGGCAGGGTGGGGCACGTCCTTTGGTGACAGCAGTGCACGGGAATGCTCCTGGCAGGGCTGGAAGGGGACTCTCCGCCCCCCACGCCCGGCCTCTGGAGCTGAGCTTCTCCCAGGGCGTTGGGGCCCTGCTCCGGGGGTGGCCGGGACCTGGAGTGGGAACCCCAGGATTGCAACCCAGGCGAGCGGGCTTCCTCAGTAGGATGACCTTGAGGGAGGGTTAGGAGGGAGGACCAGGGGAGAGGGGTACTGACCGGGAAAGGGGACCCTCGGGGGGGGGGGGGGACGCGATCTGGGCGTCGGTGGAAAGGCGGCAGCGTCCCGGATTCCCGGAACCATGGCAGGGCCACCTCGGTTCTCGCACATTCCCTGGCCCTGAGCGCGGCGCCCGGAATAGCAGCCCCGGGGTGGGGGGTAGAGGCGGTCAGTTCCCGCACGGCTCCCCCGCCCTGGGCTTTCCAAGGTCGCCGGGAAATGTGCGCTGGAACACCAGGCCGCGGCTCCGGGGGCCCGGGGCCCGCGCGGGGCAGTCCCCTGCCGTAGACACGCGCCGAGGCGCGCAACGGCCGCGCGAGGGCGCACGGGGCTGGCGCCCCTGCGGACCCCGGCCTGGGCGCGCCCTGGGAGGCCGGGTGGGAGGGGCTGCCCCTGGCTCCCCCTCGCGCCTCCCCGCGGGCCCCGCCGCTTCCGCTCGTCCTGGGGCCGCCGGGGGAGCCAGGACGTGCCGCCGGGGCTCTACGTAGCCGGTAAGTCCCTCTTCCTATCCTCCCACTATCCCGGTCCCAGGGCCCGGTCCGGGTAGGGGCTGGCCAGGCAGCAGTCCCCAGGAGGGGAGAAAGCTCATTCCCACTTCCTCCTGGGGAAACTGAGGCCTAAGAGGTATGGCTTGCCCTGGGATCACACCTGCAGTCAGGAGTGCAGCCAGAACGAAGTGTGTCTTGCTCCTCCAGGAGGGGTCTCCCGGGGGAAGAAAGATGGTGCTTCTAGCCCCTCAGTTCCCGCCGTTTACACTCCGTCCCCTCAAGCTAGTGCTGAGTGTGTGTGGTGGGAGAGGGGGTGTCAGAAGGCCAAGCCCTCTCCCCCTATCTCAGCTCTCCAGCCAACTTCTTCCCAGGCCGGCCAGGGCTCTGGGCTCAGAGAGGGGCAGGGACACAGCTGGCTACACAGCCCTGGGCAGAGAAGGGGACCTGCCCAGTGGTCCCCAAGGCTCTCAGCACCTGGAGCCACCAGGGGCCCCAGCCCCTGATGCCCCAGGTGGGAATGTCAGAGCCAGTGCCTGAGAACCAGGGAAGCTGGGGCTCAAGAGGCCCCAGAGGGTCAGCTGGTACAGGACCGGTGTCCAGGACCTCGGGGCTGGACACCTCCAGCTTGTCCTTCACATCCTTCGGGCTCTGCTGACCACCAGGCAGCCTTGGCCGTGGCCCGAGAAAGGACTCACCAGGTGGCCACTTCCCTCCCCCTTTCTCCAGCAATGCCATGGTGTTGAGGAGGGTGTGGATGGCAAGTGTCTTCATCCTTCCCCTGACAGATGGGGAAAGTGAGGCCCGGGGAGGGAAAGTCTGCCCCCACCCCAATCCAGTCACCCCCAGATGCCTCCCTCTTTCCTGCATCAATCTCATCAGTGGCCTCTTTACCTCTGCAGGCCGCCCTCGGTGGGGCCCACACCCTCTGCACATGAGGTCAGGAGTCGGCGACGGGACTGGGGCCAGGTCACCCCCCCCTTGTTATCCCTCAATCCAGGGGCTCCCTGCTGCCTTGGGTCTGGGAGCTGAGGTGGTGCTGGAGGCCCAGGGGCAGGCCGGGGGCTTCTGCCAGGGACTCGGGCCCTGACCCAGCCCCCACCAGGCCGCACCTCTGCAAAGTCCCTCCTAGAGCCCTGGACTGAGTCCAGCTGGTCCCCATGGCACAGATGGGGAAACTGAGGCCCGGGAAAGTGGAGTGTCTGGCCCTCGGCCACACAGGAAGGTAGAAACAACAATGGTGGGGTGAGTGGTTACGGGGCCCCGACCCTGGAGACACCCTTGCACTATCCTGGAATGATTCCTTCCATAATCAGACACAGATTTAGCAGCGACTGTACATTATAAGACAACACACAGTCAATAATGATAAAAGCAGATAATTCTTTGAGCTCTCCCTCTCCACTGCCAGGCTCTGTGCCACTTGTCTTTCTTCCCTGATCCGATGGGCCCCTGAAACTTTCCTGTAACGGGGGCTCTGTTATTACCCCACTTTTCAGAGACAAGAACAGAGGCCCAGAGAGGTTAAATTACTGCCCCAAATCACACAGCCAATTGGGACAGAGCTGGGGTTCAGACCCTGGCCTCCTGGCACCCCCACTGCAGCGCCCTCCCTGCTCCCCCACACTTCGCCCCCTCCAGAACCTCCTTCTGCTGTGGACCCTCCTGAACTGTGGTTTAGGGGGCAGTGCTCAGGTAAGGGGGGACATGAGTCCAGGGAGCCAGTGGACTTAGGGACCTGGCCAGTAGTCTGGGGGCCACCAGGCTCCTCTCCAGGCTGATGGTGCCTCTCTCTCCCCAAGTAGGGTCCAGGTGAGTGGACCCCGTGGGGTTCCTGGAGTCGCTGTTCCAGCTCTTGTGGGCGGGGTCTCTCCGTGCGCAGCAGGCGCTGCTTCTGGTGAGCAGAAAGCTGGGGTTTGGCTGGGGGGGGGGGGGGGGGGTGAGAGGGGGGTGTCTGCCCCCCCTCTCCTGCCAGCCCGCCCCACTCCTGGCCGCACCTTCAGCCTGCCCACACAGGCTGTGCCTTTTAATCCCACTGATCCAACTGGAATGTGGGTGGGGCTGACCAGGCCAAAGGTGGAGGGGGGGCAGGCCAGCTCCGGAAAGAAGGTTACTGGGGGTCCTAACCACGCTCTGGCCATCTTGCTCCTTGTAGGTTTCCTGGGGGAGAGCCGTGCTGGGGAGACTCCCACGAGTACCACCTCTGCCATTTGCCGGTAAGTTCTGTCTACCTCCCAGACCCTTGGCTGGGCCTTGAAGACCTTCTGTTTCCCGGTCCAGGCCCCCAGATACCATTGCCACCCTCCCAGGTTCTCTGGGCTCCCCTGGGGCTCTCCCAGCCTCGGACCTATCTTTGTCCTCAGGACTGTCCCGTAGGGGCCATTCCCTTCCGAGATCTCCAGTGCGCCCTCTACAATGGCCACCCTGTCCTGGGCACCCAGAAGACTTACCAGTGGGTGCCTTTCTATGGTGGTGAGTAGCCCTCCCTCCTGTTGGTCCAGAAGAGGCAGGGAGAAGGGGTTGCTGAGAAAGCAAGAAGCCTGGAGGACTGACTGCAAGGAGGAGAGGACATTAGCACTGGGCCTTTGAAGGATGCATAGGAGTTGAAGTGACAGCGTGGGGGAGGGAGAGCAACGTTGTGATCTGTGAAACAGGAGCGGGGGGGGGGGGGCAGGGTCTGTCCTGCTCAGGGTTGACCACCAGGCTGAGGATTTACTTGGAGCTGTATGCAGAGGCCAAGAGTTCTCAAACTTAATCCCCGTAGCAGGAAATGTTGCCGCATTTAGCTGAAGGCAAGTTATATAACTGTGTGCCCACGGCGGCGCGCCTCCGGATTTAAAGGAAACAGGCAGCTTTAGACACTATAGTGGAAGCAGACACAGATATGGAGAACATTCCATCTGTCGACCTCATTGGGTTTTTTTGAGGGGGAGGGTTGGGGTTTTTTCCCCTAAGAATTAGAGGAAATTTGCCACGATCCCACCCCTGCAGAGGCCCACCAAGGGCTGGCTCAGGGGGGTGGGAGCCAGGAGGAGCAGGGATCAGGGCTACGTGGGCTTGTGCCTGCGATCAGACTTCCCATTCTGCCCCACTGCCAGGCAGAGGGGGAAACTGAGTCCTGGGGAGGGCCAGTGACATACCCAGGCTACGCAGAATTCGGTCAGCACTGAACGCTTTTTATTGGGCACATGCTGGGCCCAAGTGCTGCGTGACCTCTGCCCACGGCTGTACCCCAGAGCCTGGAACAGTGTTGGGAAAATAGTAGGTGCTCTGTGAGTGTTTGCGGAACTAAAGAATGAATGAAGAATGGGTAAGGATGTTAGCAATGGATAACGTGTAGGGACTCCCTAATGTGAGAGCTTAACCTGAATGAATGAAAGCATGCGCGCGTGCGTGTACGCAGGCCCAGGACAGTCCCCGGGAGCTGGGGGCAGAATGCTTAGGTTCCAGCCCTGGCTCTGCCTCAACCTCCATCTGTGGCTTTGGCTGAGTCTCCGGGCCTCATCTGCCTGAGGGGGAGGAGGCTGGAACTCGGACAGAGGTACTCCACTGGCCCTACAATTCCTCCCGCCCCCAGCGCCCAACCAGTGCGACCTCAACTGCCTGGCCGAGGGCCACTCCTTCTACCACAGCTTCGGCCGCGTCCTGGACGGCACCCCCTGCAGCCCGGGGACCCAGGGGCTCTGCGTGGCTGGCCGCTGCCTCGTAAGGCCTCGCGGGACCCCGCAAAGCCCGGCCGTCTCACACCCGGGGCCGGGACCTCAGACCCCATCCCTTCCAGTCCCAGGTCCCACTCTCTTCCCTAAGCCCCGCCCCCGCCTGTACCGCCCCCTCCCCAGGTCCCGCCCACCACTAGGTTCCACCGCAGCCTCTTCCCTCCAGAGCCCGCCCCTTTACTCGTGGGCCCCGCCCCCCCAGGACGGTCCCGCTCCCCCCAGGACGGTCCGGGGCAGGGGGCTGTCGGTGAAGCCGCGCCCGTCCTCCCCGCCCCTGTAGAGCGCCGGCTGTGACGGTTTGCTGGGCTCGGACGCCCGCGAAGACCACTGCGGCCGCTGCGGCGGCACCAACGAGTCATGCTTTTTGGTGCAGCGCGTGTTCCGAGACTCCGGTGACCGCCCTCTCCGTCCTCCCGGCTAACCCAGAGCGGGCCCTTTAACGAGCTTCGGGCCCGGAAGCGAAGTCGCGAGCTGATTGGGCAGTCTGTGGCCCAGCCCCCCTCGCTCTTCATTCTGATTGGTTATTGCCAGGTGGCCCAGCCCTTCTAGGAACAGTTGGGTTTCTAACTCTTTCCCTGCTGCACTTACTCGAAAATAATCCTCCTAACTCCAAAAGTTAACCGATCGTTTGGGGGTTACCAGGACCCCTGGTACCTCTTACCGCAGTATCTCATTTAATCCTCAAATCGTCCCTAAAATACCCTCCCACCTGCGCCTCAACACTCTCCTTTCCTCCTGTCCAGGTGCCTTCGCTGGGTACTGGAACGTGACCCTGATCCCCGAGGGTGCCAGACACATCCGTGTAGCCCACCGGAGCCGCAACCACCTGGGTATCGCGGGGTCCGAGGGGGGAGGTACCCTGCTGGCCGCCTGGGAGCAGCCGGGGAGCCTGAGGCCGGGGGAGGAGGACGCCAGGGTTGGGAGGCCGGACGGTCTCCCGTCCGGTCCCGGAGCCCGGGCTGACCTTTCCCTTGCAGCGCTGATAGGGGGCGACGGGCGCTACGTGCTCAACGGGAACTGGGCGGTCAGCCCACCCGGGACCTACGAGGTGGCGGGCACCCGTGTGGTCTACACCCGCGCTGCAGGGCCAGAGGAGTTGCTGAGCGCGGCTGGGCCCACGTCCCAAGACCTGCTCCTGCAGGTGCGGGCCAACTTCTGCGGGGGGCGGCTGGGCAGTGAGGCGGGGCTGGCAGATGTAGGGGATGGTTGGGCTACAGGAGCGGGGCGGGAGGCAGGGGTCGGAGAGGGAAAGCTGGGCCATCAGGTCCTGCGGCTCCCTAGGTGTGACACCCCTCCAGGTCCTCCTGCAGGAGCCCAACCCCGGCATCGAGTTCGAGTTCTGGCTCCCGCGGGAGCGCTACGGGCCCTTCCAGGCGCAGGCGCAGGCCCTGGGCTGGTCCCTGCGGCAGCAGCAGCCTCGGGAGGTAGAACCGGAGGCCCCCGACCTCCGCGCAGCCCCAGCTCCCAGCGCCCCTCGCGCCCCGACCCCGGCCCCAGGTGAGGCGGGCATGGCCGGGGTGGAGCAAGCAGGGAGGGGAGGCCTGTGCCCCTAACTGTGCCGCCCCCGCAGAGCCCTGCAGACGCTGCCCCGACACCCGAGGCCGCGCTCCCCGGCTGCTGTACTACTGCCGGAGCGACTTCGGTGAGAGACTCTGAACCCAGCCCTTACCTGGCTCCTAACTGACCCGAGCCTGACCCTCCGCTGCGGCCTTTACCTCAGACTCCTTGACCTGACTCCAACTGGACTCCTTCTGACCCTTTGTCCTAATCTGACCTTCGACCTCTCATTGATCCCTGACCTCACCTGACCCCAGCCCCTCCCCCCCACCCCCAGTCCCCAGGGACCTCCAGTGCCCCATCTGACCCCAGTCCCTTTCTCCGGCAATGGGGTGAGTGCGGGTGGGTGCCCGGGGTGGAGTGTCCAGCCAGCCTCCACGCGGTCCTGCCTGCAGTGTTCAGGGCCCGAGTGCTGAGCCGCCTGCACCAGGCCGAGGAGACGCGCTATGAGGTTCAAGTGCAGCTCATCTACAAGAACCGCTCGCCGCTGCGGGCCCTCGAGTACGTGTGGGCACCGGGTCGCTGCCCCTGCCCCCGACTGGACCTCCACCGCGAGTACCTGCTGGCTGCCCAGCGCCTCATCAGCCCGGATGGCACTCAAGACCGACTACTGCTGCCCCACATGGGCTATGCCCGGGCCTGGAGCCCCGCCGAGGAGAGCCGTGTGCGCCTGGCCGCCCGCCACTGCCCTGTCTGAGCCCTTCGACAAGGCCCTTGCCACATGCAGCAAGAAAGATATGCCGGACGAGGCTCAAACTCAGCATATTTCCCCTCTTGCCCTGGCTTCCAGCGAGCTTAGAAATATCTCCCGTCCACAGCTATGTGACTTCCCATCACACGTGCTTAGACGGCCCTGCACATGGTCAGATCCACTGCCGTGACCAGGAGCCAGTGGTGAGGACGCACTGAATAGACCCGAACTCATTTCCTCTCTCACTCTGGCTGCCAGGAAACTCGTAGATATTTTACACTTTGAAACTTTGTGTCTGCTTTTATTCCCTTTGCCTCACGCTCACTTTCTTAGAGACACTGTCACAAACAAGCAAGGCCCAAAGGAAGACATTGTAATGTATCCGTTTCCCCTCTTGCCCTTGCTACCAGGAAGCTCATTGCTGTTTAACGACCTGATACCATGTGCTCTCTCTTCTCACGGACACACATAGGCTGCATGTATTCAAAGACGCTCTAACAAACAGGCACGCCCCCAGAAGACACGCCTAACCAGATACTGTAATGTACACACTTCCCCTCTTTGCCTGGCTACCAGTAAGTCCAGAGATAATCTGGAGAGCCTCAGCAATTCTGGCTGGTTTCTTTCTTTCGTTCCTTCCCTCTTTCTCTCTTTCTTAAAGTTTTTATTTATTTATTTATTTTTAAAGTATTTATTTATTTATTTGACAGAGAGAGACACAGCAAGAGAGGGAACACAAGCAGGGGGAGTGGGTGAGGGAGAAGCAGGCCTCCCGCCAAGCAGGGAGCCCGATGCGTGGCTCAATCCCAGGACCCCGGGATCATGACCTGAGCCGAAGGCAGATGTTTAACGACTGAGCCACCCAGGCGCCCCTTAAAGTTTTTATTTTTTTAAGTAGCCTCTACACCCATTGTGGGGTCCGAACCCACAACCCGGAGATCAAGAGTCGCACACTCCACGGACTGAGCCAGCCAGGCACCCCTGGCTGGGTTTCTTTCAGGCAACACTGCTCTCCATCCATTGTTTATTCCTATGTAACTTTTACAAGCACTTTTTAAAAACAAGGGCACCCGAGTTAAGCATACTGGGCCGCAGAGATCCCAGGATGTGCTGGTACTTGGACTCGCATTCATGCTGTCACAGTGTGTGCACCCCAGCCCTCCTCCTTCTCCTGGTCCAGTGCACCCTCCCATGCCCCCTTGGGGGCCACACTTTCCTGGCATGCCATCCAGGGCCACTCCCCAGCAGAGGAGGCTGGTCGCAGCTCTCAGCCTGTCCCCTACCCTCTGGAGATCTGCTACTCATATATTCTGGAGCCTCGGTCATGTGTGATTTGGGGGTACCTGGTGGGTGTCATTCAGCAAACCTCTTCGGGGCTCCCTGGAAGAGCCACCCTTTTACCTTCCCTCCCTGATGGGATGGCTCCTGCTGTCATTTGGTACCATCCATGGTTGTGCTTTTCTCTAGGACAAGGGATGCTCAGCTGGGGGGTCTCAGGTTCAGCCGCCTGACCTCCTTGCAGGTGACCCACGGGCAGACCCTGCCCCTCCCTGGCCTCAGTTTCCCCATCTGCGGGGCCCCTTTCAGCCCCTCGCAGCTCTGAGCATGGGAACCACGCTCCTCGGACTCGGCCCCAGTCCCTCCGCCCCCAGCCTCTCCGTCCAGGCCTAGCCCTGTCCTCCGCCACGAGTGCTGAACGTGGGGCATCCCTCCAGTCCTTCCGCGGAAAATGGGGCACAGTTCTGGAGGAGGCGTGGGGCCTTGGCACCCCCTGGTGGCAGGATGGGAAAGGAAGGGATTCAAGGCCCCTGGAGTTGCCTGCAGCCCCCAGGGGCCCCATGCCCGTGCCCCTCGCTGGCGCCCACTTCTCTCCTGGATGCTTGCCACCTCCTTCCGCACGCCAGCCTCCATACACGGCACCCACGCCCAGGGCCCCTCCGTGCTTGTCAGTCCTGCCAGCACCTCTTAGCCCACGGGTGCCCCCTCTGCCTCCCTGCTGTCATGTGGGGTATGTCGGGGAGTGGGGGTCCATGGGGTGGCCCTGTCCCGGGCCACCAGCTTCCAAACCAGCTGGCCCGGCCGGCGAGGAGACACCAGCGTGGGGCACACTCTGGTGGACGGGATGGCAGTGGCCCCACGAGCAGGGACCCCATCTCTTCACTGCCCCCTCCTCTGCACGGCAACATTGTTTCCAGGGACCATTGTGTAACAACCACAGGGGACATGCCCTTGATTTCCGGATTTGCTCTTTAGCTTTATTTTTTTTTAGAGATTTTATTTATTTGACGGAGAGAGACACAGCGAGAGAGGGAACACAAGCAGGGGGAGTGGGAGAGGAAGAAGCAGGCTTCCCGCGGAACAGGGAGCCCGATGCGGGGCTCGATCCCAGGACCCTGGGATCATGACCTGGGCCGAAGGCAGACGCTTAAGGACTGAGCCACCCGGGTGCCCCCGCTCTTTAGCTTTAAAACGAACACTTGAACAATTAAAAGAAGACGTTGCAATTCTAAAGACGTTCAAGTCCGGCCCAGGGATGAAAACTACAGGTGGTCGCATAGAGTGACAGGAGCGGGCTGCCCGAGCTGTCTCCCTCCCTACTGTCACTGGCTCTCAGTTCTTATTAGTTACCGTGTCCCCTCGGGAATGGGCAATGCCCGTTTGGGTGAGAGGCTGAAACGTCGCCCGAAGGGGCACGGTGGGGGTGGCGGCAGTCAGGACCCTCTGCCTGCGGCCAGCTCCCTTGGCTGAGGCCTGGGGGGCGGGTCACAGCTGCGAATTCTCTGGACCCACTTCCCTCAGGAGGAGGTGTTTAGTCAAGAAGAAAGGACAAAATCAGGCAAGTTTGAAACGCGTCCTGTTAGTAAGAGGATGATAACCGCAATGACTATTTCATTGGTTCCCCCGAAAGGTTTTCCCCACAACATGGCAGGAGGCTGGCTCTGGGCTTCCCATGCTTTTCTTACTATTTTTAATTCTCTGCAGCCAGCACCCCCTACTGCCTGCCCGGGGCCCGCGCTCCCTTCCTTCTGACCCTGAACTTGGTCCCAATAGCTGCTGTCCCACAGCCCCCTGGGGTGACGTCCGGGCGATGCGGGGTACAGCTTGGCCGTGCTGCTCCAGGTGAAGTGGTCCTCACTATGGAAGGCCGAACACATATCCAGGTCCTAATCTCCAGAACCTGTGAATGGGACCTTATTTGGAAAAAAGGTCTTTGCAGATGCAATTAAGAGTCTCATGATGAGATCATCCTGGATTATCCAGGTGGGCCCTAAACCCAGTGACAGTTGTCCTCATAAGACAGACAGAGGAGACAGCCGTCTGGCTACAGAGGCAACGCTGGAGGGACGCAGCTGCAAGCCCGAGGAGGCCTGGAGCTGCCAGGAGCTGGAACAGGTGAAGGACCTTCCCCCTGGAGGCTGCGGAGGGAGCTCGGTCCTGCCAGGCTTCTGGCCTCCAGAATGTGGGAGAATAAATCTCTAGTTTTAAGCCTCCCAGTGTGTGGTCATTTGCATCAGCCTCCCCAGGACACTCTAATGCTCACCCTGCAATCTCTGACAGGTGTGTGCCCAAGGAAACAAGAGCTCTGCTCACCAAAGGCCAGTTCTAGAATGTTCCTAGCAGCTTTCGTCACAATAACCACAAACGGGAAACCACTCCAACCAACAGTGGAATGGTGTACATAAACTGAGTGAAATACTGTCCATCACCACCCAAAACCAAAGTCTGGATCACTCCTGCAGCAGGGTGGTGAATCTGACAGCCGCGGCTCTGAGTCACACAGGCAAGGGCAGGACACAGCGTAGTTGAGACGTAAGTGATGCGCACAGACAACGTAAATGGAGTCAAGACGGGGGGCCACCGACGGGGGGAGGGGCTGGCCGTGTTGCGTCACCAGCTCTGAGTGGCTGGTTACACTTTTCTGTGTGTTTAAATTAAAAACAAAATAGGGGCACCTGGGTGGCTCAGTCAGTTGAGCATCTGCCTTCAGTTCAGGTCATGATCTCAGGGTCCTGGGATCGAGCCCCGCATCCCCTACACTCGTGCGCTCGCTCATTCTCTCTCTCTGCTCTTTCTCTCAAATAAATAAATAAATAAAATCTTAAAAACAAACAAACAAACAACAAACAAGTCTGAGGGGCTAAAGGTCCTGTTTCAACCTGGTAAGACAGGTGTGTCCTCCCACCTGTGCTCCCTGGTGGGCTGACCCCTGGCGGTCTCGGGAAAATCTCTGAAGGGACACAGCTAGAGCCCATTTTGCTGCCCCCTTGGATGGCAGGGGTCAATGCCAGGTGCAGAGCAAGCCTGGTACCTCCTTGTCCATCCCTGGACTATGGCCACACCACATTCTTCAAACAGCTGGGCCAGCGATAAGCAGATTCCCAGATCCCTGTCCCCCACACCCATCTGGACTTCTCAGCAGGGCGGGGGGCGGGGCAGGAGGGAGGCTCATTAATGATTATGCTCGGTCCCTCCCTTGCTCCCTGCAAAGCCTGCATCCCCAAGCAAAGGCAAAGTCCTCACCACACCTTCCAGATAACTGCGAGGTCAGCCTCACCCCACTTCCCTCCTCTCCCCTTCACTCATTCAGCTCCAGCCACACTGGCTACCGCACTCTTCCTCTAACCTGCCAGGCACAGTCCTGCCCCAGGGCCTTTGCATGTGCTTTTCTCTCTGCCAGGACCATATTTGCCCTGGCTTTCGCAAGACCCATGCCCTCTGACCTGACTTTCCTATCTCCTTCAGGCCTCTCCTCAAATGTCACTTTCATAGACAGGTCTTTCTCTGACTGTTCCTGAAATTGCCACCCCACCCAACTCCCCACTGCATCCCCGCCCCCAACAACATTCACCTCCCTCTGACATATACATTTATCATGCTGTTGTCACCTCCCCAAATCCTTAGGAGCAGAGATTTTTCTCTCTCTGGGCCATCATGTACCCTTGACTGTTGCAACAGGGCCTGGCATACAGTAGGTGCTCAATATTTGTTGAATGAGCAAATAAACGAATTGGACCAGTTGTTCACCAGCAGCTCTAAGTGCTCCCTCCTCCTTCACTGGCATTCTCAAGGATGAGGACACAGGCTGCGGGGCAGGTGGCTGCAGAGGGCTGCCTCCTTTGGGGGAACCTTGTCTTGGATGAATGCGGCCACCACCAGCGGCAGTGACGTGGCAATGGACTGTGGGACGCTGCACAGACACCTGCAGTGTTTCCAAACATTGTCCAATGTCCCCAGGGCACGATTACCCCGGGGGCGCCTGGGGGGCTCGGTCGGTTAAGTGTCCCACTCTTGACTCCGGCTCAGGTGGTGATCTCAGAGTCGTGCTCAGGGGGGAGTCTGCTTGAGATTCTCTCCCTCTCCCTCTGCCCCTCCCCCTGCTCATGCGCGATCTCCCTCACTCTCTCAAACAAATAAATCTTTAAAAAAAAAAAAAGAAGTCATGATCACCCAGAATCTTGGAGAAGCAGCCCTTGGGTGGGAGGGGCAGACCGAGGCGGACACTGCGGGTCCCCAGGTCCTTCCTCACTGTGGCTGCAGCTGCCCTGCTAGGGACTTGTCTTTGGGTGATGGGAGGTGCCTCAGGGTTACAGCCCCTCTTGGTTGTGGGCTGAGACTCAGGACCGACAGACACAGGTGACAACCCACCTGGCCTTAAGGCAGAACTCCAGGGTGCGGGTCCTGCACTCCAGGGTCCTGCCCCCACAAGCTGAGACCACCTCCTGGCCCAGCTCCCCCCGCACTCCCCTGCCAGCTTCCAACGCAGACTCTGCTTCCAGGAACCTGACCTCCAATGGGGGGGGGGTGTTCTATTTTGTCAGCATACTGCTGGACTGAGTTTGCTCTTTTTACATCTGTCTCCGTGCAACAGGCTTGGGTCTCTGCCTGGTTTTATGATCGGGGCCATGCTGGTGTCCAAAGAGGGACCAACTGTGGGCTGCTAGTGACACCCTGCCCCCTCCTCCCCACTCCCACGAACCCACTCCGATGGCAACCGCCAGGCCCCCCACCTTTGCTGAAGCCTTCCTCGGCCCCCACGCTGCTTGCAGGGGACACAGGCTAGAACGAATGGCCACTGCCCTCCCCCCGCCCAGGGACCAGCCGGATGGCGAGCGGGAGAGGTCTCCGGTGCGAAGGCGACACTGTTTCCCAGAGCCTCCATGGGATGGGGCTCCAGGTGCCCACAGCAGCTAGGGGCTTGGCAACACCCAGGCTTAACTTCCTTCCTCTCCCCCATCTCCCAGCCCCACCCCTGACCGGACCTGCCGGGGATGCCCTCCCAAGAAGGGACTGGTACTCCGATTCTCTCTGCAGGTCTCCTTTGGGAGCCTTCTCGGCCACAAGGCAAGACCTCAGGCGAGTAGGGGTGGCTCTCTGGCCTCAGCTTCCTTGAGTGTAGAGCGGGGCCGCAGCGCATCCGCTCCTGATCAGAGGAGACAGGGCCCACGAAGGCCCGGCCCGGGGCTCCCCCGCGGACACACGGCCAGACGAAGTTCATCCAGGTGAACTTTATTGAGTGCTTGCTAGCAGGCCAGATGTTTCAGCCTCCAGCAGTGCTGCAGGTACCAGAGCTTGTGCCTGGGGTGGGGCCAGCTGCAGGTGACCTCCGTGGTAGACTCGGAGGTGTACTCCAGAGAGGACTCGGACTGGCAGGGGACAGGCAGCTCGGTGCCCGAGCTGCCACCGTGGGGCTGCGCTGGGGACCCCTTCTCCTGCTGGCTTCTGGACTTGGAGGCCTTGGGGGCCAGGTCCTCGGGCCCATCCGAGGTTTTGTTGGGGGGCTGCGTGGGGATGGTGGCACCGCTGGGGGACGGCATGACGTGGGGCGCCTGGCTGGAGGAGGTGCTGGGGCGCAGCACGGCGGAGCCTGAGGACTCGCGGGCTGGCTGGGGTCGGCCTGAGGAGGTGATGGACGACCGGGCTTGCTGCTGGCTGGCAGCCAGGGGGGGCTGGTTGGAGGAGCTGTCTCGGGGCCGAGGCGGGCCCCGGGACTTGCCAGGCAACTGGGAGGCGCTGGCCGGGGAGCGCAGCGGGGACTGGCTGTGTGAGGAGCTCCCGGGGGCTGGCTTGCTGGGGGACGAGGGGCTGGTGGCGGACTCCACCCGGGAGTAAGCTGAGGAATCCGTGGAGGACTTGGGCTGTGATGTGCCCCCCAGCTCGCCAGCCGACGGCTGTTTGTAGAGGTGGGGCGCGGCTTTCACTTGTCCTTCTGGAGCTGGGTCATGCTTGCTTTGGCTGCAAAGAGACAGCCGTGGGGGTGAGGCGGGCCCCGGGGCGGAGCGGAGCGGCGGGGAGACCAAGGCCGTCCCTCCTCCAAGGGGACAGCTATCCTATAGGCCATCTTGCACACGCACAGGCCCTACCTCCCAGGGGTGGGGGCTACGTACGGTCAGCTCCAAGGGCAGCTGTGGGGGTGACAAGAGCCCGGCCGCGGGCCAGGGTCTGCAGGACTGGTTCCCGAAAGCAAATGTAGGAGAGAGAGGCTGACAGTGAGGGGGTGGAGACCAGACGGATGCCAGGTGGGGTGAGGAGGGAGGGGGCAGCAGTGAAAGCGAGCAGGGGCTGGTGGGCTGGGACACAGGCAGACAGAGGCTGGGACAGACAGACAGCCCCGCGCCCAGTGAGCACACACCGTCCCGGGTTATTCCGGCTGCCACGTCCAGAGCTCGCCCGCTGAAGTCCCTCACGACGCTGTCCACGGCCTCGTGATGCTTTAGAAACAGCGGACGAACGGCGCGGTGATACAGCATGTGCGCCCCGTTCCAAGGCCCGGGAATCATGCAGAACAACAGGAAGGCGCACTGTGGGCACGGGGCAGGAGTTACACTCTGTCCCTCGGGCATGAGCCTGGGCCTCCCCCATCAGACACCCCTCGGGACGGGCCTACTTCCTCGGAGAAGGTGAGTCTCCCCTTTGCACCCCGGGAGGCAGCACAGTCCCGTGTGTGTCCCGGGGGCACCCACCTTGCCCGCGTAGTAGAAAGGGAACCAGGACAGGAGTAGATCGCTGAAGAACTCGGCCAGCCCGAACAGGCCGTACACCACCCAGTACGTGAGCCACACAGTGTCGTCGTCTTTGCTTGGGCTCTCGATTGCTTTGATTCTGGGGGGAGGTGGGCAGAGTCAGGGGCTGCCCAGAGCCCCCAGACACCCCCCACCTGGACAGCCAGCAGGACTCACGAAGCATACGCTGGGTACACAAAGCCGATTACATTGCACAGTAGAGACGCCCCGAAGCCGAAGAGAAGATACAGGCTTAGCAGAGTGGCGGCCCCTGCAGAAGAGAGGGTGTGGGCAGGATGGCACCCTCCGAGCCGGACCATGGCGCCCCCAGGCCGCCTCCTGGCCTGCCAGACACAGTCTGCAACAACCACTCCCCCCGAAGCCTCAGGGACCCCACCAGGATGCATTTGCTGCTCCCGCAGCACCTGGGCAACCCCCACCGTGGCCCTCAGCCCCATGTTTTGTGTCTGTAACCAGTTAACCAGTCGGTGTCCCCCCAACCTCTGGACTGTGAGCTCCTCAAGGGCAGGCAGGGACCTTGGCCCTCATAGGTAGAGTAGCTGCCCAATAAACGTTTGTTGAATGAATACGTGACCATCTGCAATTGTAACTGCTTACTCCAGGTCCTATGGGAGAGGGAGGGCACAAGGGACCAGCGTTTAAATGTACGTGATGGGAGAAAAACCTAAAAGAAAGGCCATTCTGACATTAAGGCTTGACTCGCAGTGAGCAGAGAAAGGCAACATTTGTAACTTTGATCTCAATGGAGTTTTTCATCCTCAGCCCTGCAGACAAGCCCTGTGGGATCATCTTCTGTGGGGGCGTCCTGGGCGCTGGGCGGGGGGGAGCTGAGCAGCATCCTCGGCCCCACCCTGTCGATGCCAGGAGCACCCCCGGTTGTGACAACCACCCATGTCATGTCCCCACACACTGCCCAGTGTCCTGAGGGGGACCGCATGGCCCTGTGTGAGGACCCTTATCTTAGTGCGAGACAGCTAAGAGCAGTAGAGTCCCCCAGACCCAGGAGAGCCCTCTGCTATTCCACCTACCACGTGACACCAAGCAAGTCTCTCTCTGCTTGGAGCCTCAGTTTCCCCATCTGTCAGTGGGGTGGTAATGGCCCTGCCTCCTAAGGTTGCCGTGGGGATGGCTAAATACCACTCCACGGAGGGGCTCCTCCTGTCTACACGTTTACTGAGCACCTTCTAGGCATGCAAACACATTCCCAGGGATGAAGGCTCCAAGAAAACCTTGTTGGGGGAGGCGGGGAGCCAGGAGCGCGAGCCACTCTGAAAGCATGAATGGTGAACACAGCGTTTATTAAGTGCTTCTTGTGTGCAGGTCCCTGCACGTCCCTGCTGTAGCTTGTTCTACGGCCAGAACAACACGGGAACCCGGGGAGTGAGGCCCAAGGTCACTCACAGAGCATTTTACAGCCTCCAGCCTGTTATCCGCAGAGACAGAGATCACTTGTGTGCCCAAGGGCAGAGTCACCCCCACCCTTCCCTCCACCTGCATTAGTCTTTGCCCCTAGGGCCAGGGGTCAAGAGAGGGAGGGGAGCCTCCCCAGTTGGCCCTGGGAGGTCACTGCCTCCTCTGGGTCTCCTCCTTTGTTATCTGGGCTGGGGATTTGGTCATTTGGAGCAGCTGGGGCCCAAGAGTTCCCACACCTGGGCAAGGGGGGAATTGCCAGTTGGGGAGGAGTGGCTTTCCTAGGGCACCTCTCCCTTCAATCCCTATTCCTGCAGCCTCAGCAATGGGCGGATGACCTTGGACATGGGGGGAGGGCACAGCCCCAGAGATCAGCAACAGATGGGGCTTGGGGGGGAGGTGGGTAGGGAGCGGTGGATGCTCCAGACAGGGCAGGTGGCAGAGGCAGCCTCCCTCAAAGCCTCTGACTCTCTAGGCCTCAGTTTCCTCCCTGTGACTCCCAGCCTCCACACAGGCCCCTCCCCAGGGCTCTACGACCTAAATTTCCTGCCCACAGGTACCAGGGATGTGGAAAGTCAGCAGAGAAGTCAGGGCCTGCTCCCAGGGGGCAGGTTCCCGGCTGAGCTGACATGGTTGGGCACAGGAGGCCTGGGGGAACAAATGGGCCTTCCTTGGGCTGCCGGGCACGGGGGTACCCCTGCTGGGGGGGGAGGGGGGAAAGAGGACTCGAGGATCTGCCGACAGAAGGTGCTCAAAACACAGGCCCCTGTCCTTGGCCCAAAGCCCCCCACCAGGTCTGGACAAAGTGTCCCTAAGATCCATTCCAGTGGGCTTCCTGGGAGAGGTGGCAGCCCTGATGGGCCTGGAACACGGAAAAAGAGGGGAGGAAGGTATTTAAGGAGTGCTTACTAGACAGTTTGGGAGGGTAGTGGGGCCCAGCCAAGGTCATTGAGGAAGAAAGTTAGAGGAGGCACTACCGGGATGGAGTAGCGGGACGATCCATCAGGCTGCTCCATCCCAGGATGATCCCTCATAGTCAGGAGTAACTGGACCCCCTCTCTGTGGTCCCCCACCCAGTATTTCTCCAACTCCACAGCAGCAGTCAAACAACCCAATTCAACTACTCACTAAGTGGGCCAAAACCATCGGGGAGGAGAGGGAGGGGGCAGGCTAAGGGGAGGGTACTCACAGGAAAACAATGGAGGGAAGAGGGATGGGAGTGACCCTTCCCCTCCTGGCCTGGAGCATCCCCCTCCACAAACGGTAAGATCTCTACGCTTGCTTCCAGGCTGGGCTCCATGTGGGTCGGGGGTGTGGCAAGACTCTCAGGGCACTGGCTGCCTACCCGCGGCCCTCTCCTCCCCCCCAGGGCGTACAGAACAACTGGAAGAACCGGACTTCGGCCTGGCGGTCACCCAGGGCCACCAGGGAAGGGGCAGCGACAGCCTCCAGACCCGAGGACGGGAATGGAGGTAATGCAGGGGCCGAGAGAGGTGGGTGACACTCGCCCTAGATCGCACGGCGGGGGCAGGCGAGAGGCTGCAGGCAGACGCGAAGTCCTGGTCCACGACCCCTCCCCAGGATCTCCGTCTCCCTGCTGGAGAGTGGGGTGCACCCCGCCGTCCGAGCCCGGACCCCGCAGGAGGCGCCGGCCGGAAAGGATCAGGTCCGGGACCCGGGTGCCCCAGAGCCTCAATGTGCCCGTCGGCGAAACGGGGCAGCAGTCCCAAGCGCCCCGGACGGCTCACCCGCGGCCAAGTACCGCTTGTCGATGCCTGTCTTGGCTTCGAGAGCCCCTAGCGCTTCCGTGGCCAAGTTCCTCTGTTCCAGAAGGCGCTCGAAGCGCTGGCGCAGGCCGTCCATGGCACCGGCGGGCCCGGGGTTGGCAGCCCGAGCTCGACCGCTGCTCTACGCACCCGCCCCGCAGCGCGCGTGCCGCCTTCCCCGGGCGCGAGCAGCTCGGCTCCGCCCCCGGGCTGGTCTCCGCCCCCGGGCTGGTCTCCGCCCCCGGGCTGGTCTCCGCCCCC